CCAACCCCATTGGTTTTCTCCGGGTCCTACTACTGCTAACGTCTAAAGACCCCTACCCTTAAAAATTATTCAAATAAAAAAAATGGAACCCTATGTGTTAGTCCTGAAATGACCCTCTCTCTCTCATTCCTGTTTTATATGAGGGAAATTTTGCCCGGATACGCCCATGTATACACGGGTCCTCTTTTTTTGTCCCATCCGGGCAACTACACAGCTGTCCTTGTCAGGCTCTCCGTCCTGCACCACTGACAAGGGGAAATAGCCCAAACAAATTAAGATCATGCCTAAAAAATATATCGTTTAGGGCACACAGAGACGCGGCACGTGAAGCCGGTCGCTTCAACAAACATTCATGATTCCCGAAAAAAATGTCACTGTGTATTAAACTGACTTTAAATGTTCTAAATTTTATGCCGAATTTTAATCCCTTAGTCAATTTAAAAGAAATTACGATCTCATCCCTGTCTGGTACGCCTATGTGAGTAGATGTAAATGAATTATATGTTTGACAATAAAACACACGATTGAGAAAGAAATGTAGGCTATGAGTAGCAAATGAATACAGGATGGCAATAAAGAAATGGCGGGGGGGGGGGGGGGGCAAGTGTTAGCACGTGTGCGCTGTATCATAAGGTCTGTCATAGAGGTCTCGCTCTCTCTCTTTCTAGTTTGAAATGGAAGGTATAAATAGAAATATACGGGTGGCAAATATAACACGCAGTTGGAAATGAAATGTATTGGTAGGAAATGAAATATACGAATAGTATATAGATAGAACATGCGGTTGGCAATGAAATAATATGGGTAGCCTACTCCGGGTGGTAGGCGGGCGGGCAGGCAGATCAGCTAGAACAATTTCAATAAGCCTCTGCTGCTTTTGCAGGAATGAAATTAGATTAAGTTTGTATTTTATCTACTTTGTGATAAACAAAAGTGCAAAGAAATGCGTTTTCAGTGTATTCAAAATTTCACAGAATATGGAACTTTTCACATGTGTGCTACTTCCATCTACACACGATATCGGTTTCGCTGTCTACGCTTCGCTGTGTACGAAGGTATTCATATGCACTATGAAGCTTCAAAAAACAAATGACAATTAAAAAGGGATTCTGGGTCTGTATTTTGAATAAAAGCACAAACAATCTGCAAGAATGTTAGGTTTATTATATAAAACGAATGGCGAATAACCATCCTTATGGCTCTAGGCTATTCGCAATTCGAATGGCGAATATCCACTCCGCTTAAAGAAGGCTATATTTAGTGTACCGGTATATCTTCAGTGTAGGCTATGTTTAGTATCTAGTATATATAAATGTAGCTTATATAAGGTTATAATTAGTACCTATCCTCAGTGTAAATGTAGCTTATAGTAGGCTATATTTAGTACCTGTTCTCAGTGTAAATGTAGCTTATATAAGGATATATTAGTACATATATAGGCCCAGCGTAAATGTAGCTTATATAAGGCTATATTTAATACCTATTTTCAGTGTAAATGTAGCTTATAGTAGGCTATATTTAGTACCAATCCCCAGTGAAAATGTAGCTTATAGTAGGCTATATTTAGTACCTATTCTCAGTGTAAATATAGCTTATAGTAGGCTAGATTTAGTACCTATCCTCAGTGTAAATGTAGCTTATAGTAGGCTTTATTCAGTATCTATCCTAAGTGTTAATGTAGCTTATCCTCAGTGTAAATGTAGCTTATAGTAAGCTATATTTAGTACCTATCCTCAGTGTTAATGTAGCTTATTTAGTACCTATCCTCAGTGTTAATGTAGCTTATTTAGTACCTATCCTCAGTGTTAATGTAGCTTATAGTGGGCTATATTTAGTTGTAGCTTATAGTGGGCTACATTTAGTACCAATCTCCAGTGTAAATATAGCTCATAGTAGCTATATTTAGTATCTATCCTCAGTGTAAATGTAGCTTATAGTAGGCTATATTTAGTGGAGTCATTACAAACTGTTAGGCAGACAGAATGTCAGGGGCATTAACTCTGGAACTGATCTGAGAAAATCACAGTGAATCTATACAGACCATCTTTACCCAACAGATAATCATTGAAGATTTTGTAAAAATCGTTGAAAAGTGTCTGGGGTCATTACAAGTGCATTTTTTTATCGAAAGGGGCAATAACATTTCTATACAATTCCTGAAAATCAGATGAGTGTTATTTTGACCATAGACAAAAGTACTTTTACTAAAAATTTATTCAAATTGGCCTTTTTAAAGAGAACATTAGTTTCTATTGACTTCACGCCACAATTGTTAGGTGTCTTATCATTATTAACTAACAGGCTGCACCAGTAATTCTAAATTACTATCTAATATTCTACAGTCCTTATTTAAAGCCTTAATCTATGCTAATTATAAATGCGGATTGTCATTTGCTTTTGGATTAATATTCTTTTTTGCGATTCAACCATCACAACATTTTACTATGATTTGTACTATCACGGAAGTAAAAATTACCATTCTTTTTTCAAAATGAAAAAATGACAACCGAAAGTCAAAAGAAGATGCCATGACCCTGTTAGCGATTCCAAGAGTCTCATAGATCAAACTAATGCCATTACCACTCTCCCAAGTGCTACTTATGGTTAAAATATGCAAATAACGACTTTCATTTGCATCACCACATCTACATACGTAATGATGATTATCCTATTTGAGAGTCTCCTATGAAAGATGACCAATTTTCTAAACTAATACAAAATCATTAACAATAACTACTCTCTTTTAGCCTTCAAACTCTATGAAACTCAATTGAATAAATAGAATAAATTCTGAGAAACCAGGCCACCTCATTCCATAACAGTCTTTATGATCTACAGTCCATTCTTAAAGTACCGTAGTTAGTATGTCCATTTAATCTCTAGGATATTCTAAATTCAAGGACATTGCCTCCACAATATTCTTTGGATAGAGGAATAAGTGTATTACATCATAAAATGACAGCCTATAGTTATTCCTTCTTTGATTGGCATTTAGTACTTGAACATATTAACACAAGGTACAATTTTATGGATACACAATTACTGAGTCCCCCCCCCCCCCTTTTAATCCCTGTAAGAGTTTCGGCTGTGTAGGTCTAGTTGTAAATGGCCCCCTAATCAAAGGCGTTAAGTTTTAATTGTAATTGATTGTCATCTTTGTTGCATATTCTGTATATATTTGCCTACTATTCACATACCTGTATCATTTGCTTGATAAAGACGAGAGTATCCTTGTCGAAACGTCACTTAGTATTAAACTCAGTAATTGTGTACCCATAAAATTGTACCTTGTGTTAGCTGTATTGCTTTTCATAATATATGGATTCCAGTAGAAGAAACAGTTGCTGATCCAGTTCGTTACATAATTATAATATTCTATCAATATAATAGACATTCATCCATAAAGTCTCCAGTCAATAATTCACTTGCACAATCTACTGGTTGACATTAATGTTGTTTTTATGACTTTTTTTTTCGATTTATTTATGACTAGCTGTTTCCAGATCATTTAACAAATTCAAACCAATTTTAATCATTTTAGTATTTCCAACAAAAAACGTAGTTTTATAAAATGACAGACTTTAGTTATTACTAACAGCTGTAGTCACTTTTATATATGGATTTTAGCAAAAGAAATATTTGATAATAAAAACTAAATAGATACCATCCCACTGTTCGTAACTGGTTCATTGCATTTTGGTGAAAATGGATATCAAAAACATAATTTTCGAATGTACATTATATCTCAAAATATCTAATATAAATTGAAATGTAACCATGTCAAAAGAAAGCAATAATATCAAAGTCTAATTGTGTCATTTTAGCACAATATCAATCCCTTGAGAACTACAATAAGTAGAATCTATAATACAAATATTTGGTCCAAAAATGGTTAAATTCCCTTCAGTATTTACCAGTCTGATTAAAAAACAGATCCTATTTCGTTTCGTTTATTATAGTTCAAAATTTTGTTTTACTTGTCTTTACTACACTAGGATCTGGAAGAGTTGTTATATAACCCGCGTTCTGGTTGATGTGAGGGACTACCCAATGAAACCGTCTGTTGCAGCAAGTTCTTGGCATGCGATGCACGGAACTATGGGTATCATACTAGAAATATCAATGCTCATAGGGTCAAAAGCCACTTGTGTGACCCTTGACACAACTTCCCACTACAACTGGTCAGATCTTTAATCAGATTGAGTATTTACAAAAATCGATCGAATTGAAATTTCATCGATCTCTGCTGCTCGCTATATGTAATAAGCTTACAGTTTAAGTACAGGAGGAGAATCTGAGCTGTTTTTATTAAGGATCAACATAACCTTGAAATTAATGTACCCATAATTATAAACAGATTAGAGATTTTATATGACAATATAGTACAGGAAACAGATATATATCTAGTACATTTATTCCTTATATATCTATGGATATATTGCTGTTATATACTACTAAATGATCTTATATATACAAAATTAAACTTTTAATAAATTATCAATATATAGATACAGTAGGCAAATATTAATTAACTAAGATTCTTCAGGAAGCAGGTACTTTTCTGATAAATTAATGATAATGTTAGACAATTGTTTTTAATAACACCATATCAACCAAATTTTTCATCCTACACCTCAGCTTTATTTGTGAGCGTAATTGGTGTGGTTTTTGATCAATCAATGTTTAGTAGTTTCCTCAGTTAATGCATTTCTTTTCTCGAGCCACAAATTACAGTTAATCAAGATTACATCCGATAGCCTTGATTATCTTTTATTTTCTATGACTTCTGTGTAAATATCCAGAAACTTGAGTTGATGTACCTCTCAGTGAAGCAAAATCAAATTTTATTGGCTGCAGCAACCTGTCAAATGCCATTCAAGGCGTGTCTCTTTATGAGCAGCTCTGTTTCCAATTGGTCAATTATAGGAATCAGGGTGGCATATGAAGCACTAGATACTGTTGACATATTGTAAAATAACACAATATGATATGGGGATTGATCTTTAAACATCAGTTGCTTTGTATATCTTAATGAATTGATTTAAATATTGTGCATTTATTTACTAACAGTTCAGGCATCGATATAGAATCTAACTGCAATATACTTTACAAAGGTAAGCAAAATACTTTTTTAAGAAATACTAATATTAATATTGAATATTTAGATGAGATATTTAACACAAAGCATGAACAAAATGTGCCAAAAATGATGAAGTTTGTCCGGGTTGCTCTAAAGATAAATTTCCTGCTAGTTATATCTAATATCTTTTTATTTCGATTTCGATAGTTGTTTTTTTATTTTCACATATTCTATTCTTTGGTGGGATTTCAGCATATTCTTTATTTTTAATAATTCAATAATTTATCCATTCTGTATTTTTGTTCTAATTCATTAATTCAATTTAAAAAGCCATTAAGCTACATGTTGGCTTATAAAATGAATTGATATGGTTGATCACTGTCACTATGAAAGGTCATTCTCCTATGAGTTACAATAAACTGTAGTCATTTGCATAAAAACACTCTAACATACAGTAGAATCTGTACAAGCAGCCATTCCTATTCAATGACATCTCCTTGTAAACAGTCATGATAAATTCCCCTCTGTAGAAATTCTACTGTTTCATCTCTTTAATCAACGGTCACTAACACGGCCAGCGGTCACTGTTTTAGTTATAAATTTAACAAAACATCACCCATTCAACAGCCACTGTTGAATGATACCATCTTGTTGTACTTTGCACCTCCGCTAATCCTGGGATTAATAGTTAATTATCTGGCCCCTATTGATCCGGTAAAAAGAACGGTGAAAATAATAAACCCAGGATTATCTGTTAATTAATCATTAATTAAATGACTAACCATGATCATTATTTTCACATGTAATAAAACATTCTTTGATACTGATTGATTAATAAACTAAAAGTACCGTCAAAGCCGAGTTTTGTCACAATCATCTAGTATCTATTTTCCATTGCCACTTTGTTGCTCAACCGAAGTATTAGCGCCTCCTATATTACATAAATGGTTACACCCCATGGAAATCAGTGACAAATTCAGTGCTGAGTTTTTGGACATGTGCTTTTTTGATAAAAAAAATTAATTCGTAGATTTTTTTCACAAAAATGGATAAATATTATCGAATACATCACAATGGTAGACAGTAGTATCAATATTGGTACAAAATGACACGTTTACAGAAGATATATCAGAGATTTGAGTTAAAAGAATTTTCGTTCCAAGCAAGTTTCAGCAACAGCCAATTTTACTGATTCAAGTACTATTGTTTGCTTTCAATGCATACAAGCATCAAATTTACTTGATATCAGCACTAACAAACACTGATATTTTATTAAGAGGTCACTTCCATCCTTAAACGGTCAGTCATGAAAATTCCCTTGAGTGGCTGCTTAATACAGATTCTACTGTAATTACAAATCAATTTGTAAATTTCTAAAGCATGCCACAAGTTAACCTTTTATACCTTATTGGTCAGTCTGCTATTAAAGTAGCAATATTGTTAAGGACTTATTGGTCTGATATAATAGTAGCAATATTGTTATAACAACATATAAAACCCAACCATCTCCAATCTGTGCATGGACTTAAAACATACTATATCAAGGCCATCTACAAAACTTATTGAATCTACCTCCCCTGATTTCAGGTAATCTGAATATTTCTTTTTTTTCTCATAAGAATTTAAAACAAAATAATTTCTGTCTCAAATTACTTTCAGAAAGTCAAATGCAAACCAAAAATTTGCTAGCCATAACAAACTTCTCAAATAAGTTCTAGAAAGCGTAAGTGCTTGCTACATTTGTCACTACTTATAGTCTGGATAGGGAAAAAATAGAAATCCTGGTAGATTCCTCCCAGTTCATCTCCCACTGGTGTCAGTTGAGAAATAATCAGCCTGCTTATCTCCCATGGGTCTCCCTCAAGAAATAAACACCTGCATCTCTATATCTTGATAAATTAAGGATATATATAGTTATTTCCTTTATCATCCAATACAGTTGACTGTAAAATATTGCTGGCTTAAAATATATCTCGCTTTCTTCTCTTAAAAGATAAAAACAGCATATGGGTAAAAGAGCTCTTAGCCCCCACCCCCACCCCCCAAAAAGGAACAGGGATTTAGCTAAAAAGATGAATAAACAAAAATATACTTTTGATATTATTATTTTCTCTCTAAATTCTACATCTTGCCTTTCAAACATCACTGAGTAACAACATTTTAAAACCTAATCCATTACCCCAAAAATGAGAGAGAGAAACAAGATATAAAATCCACTAGACAAAAATCAGGTCATTTCGGGACTAACATCTGGTTCAATTTTATCTTAATAATTTGCTTGCGTGTAGCAGTCTTTAGCAGTAAGAGGAAACTGGAGGACTTGGAGAAAATCCACCAGGATGGACAGGGGACTGTATTCCTTGTCACGTACAAGCAGTTAATCGAAACCATGTCATTTGATTCAATGACAGACCATATGATCTTAAGCGGACATGTTAATCTACTCAGTCACCTACCCTAACCCCCGAAAATAAGACAGGAGGACTGTGTGGTGTGATGTGTGTGCTGTCATCAATACAAGAGTCTGGAATTTTATATGTCGATTTCCTCCCAATATATATAAAATAGTACATCTGTTACTCCCAAAATGACCTAGTTTGTAAGGGTAGAATTTCGAAACCATTTCTTTCCCCATCCCTCAAAAACCAATGCAATATAATGAGTTCTCTATTCTTCAAATGAGAATATAAAATAAACCCAAATATTCAAGTTGCTATTGTCTGATTTTCTTGGAAACCACTTACTACCTTATCTATCATTCATCCATCTGTGATTTAATTCATTTCATCTGATAATTATGATAAGAGTTATCTATTTACACAGCTTGTTTTCAGCAGAATCGAATAGTGTTCTGTATTCATCTTTTAATAGGAAAGTAAAATAAAAATTTGTTAGTCATGTGAGGTCTTCAAATGAGAAGAGATATTAGGTGTTTCACCTTATTGAATTGTTCCCGATATGACAATTGGACTATGTGCGCACTGATACATATTGGAATGAAAGAGTACTAAAACCTTCATTAAGATATTACTCTACTCAGTCAACCACTGGAACCTGCAGATCGATTTTCCTTTAAGGTGCATGATGCAAGAAGATTTAGATAAACTGCTGGCCATTCTTGCTATAATACTGTTCAAAAACAGATAATACAAAATGAACATATTGTAAATTTCTTTATTCTGAAAGAAGTTATCACTGTTTGAAGTTTTGAAAAGATGTGTTATAGATTGTTTATCATTGTAACAATGGTAGTTGATATTCGAGACTACTGCTCGATTCCACATTTTATAATTAAAACATTAAATATCGGCTGTGTTTTAATTTCCGCTATCCGGGAGCCACGTTGGTTCAGCGAGTAAGTCGTTACATAGTTAACCATGCTATTCCAGGTTCGATCTCAGTGCTGGCCAAGAAAGTTTCTCAGAATTTTTCGGTGGTGTAAAATTGAGAGCCTCAGGCAAGAAATAAGATCAAACAGTATTCAATTGGATGGGACGACAAAAATGAGGTCAGGTTTACTACTTGACATGTGCTTAAAAAAAAACAACAGTTGGAATTGAACGAAGAGTAGGTAGAAATACACCTGTCTGGAAAAAATTTCCTCATTACAAAATGCATGGTGAGCTCCAATCTTCATTAGCATGGTTTGCTTAATGTTTGGAATGAAGACGGATCGGAAGAAAGATAGTTAATTACCGGCATTCAAAAAATTGTTTGGAATGTAGACACATCGGAAGAAAGATGGCTAATTACAGGCATTCGAAAAATTGAATCTACAGACAATAAACACTATCTGACAATAGTTCACTGAAACTGGATACTAAATCTTCATTAAATTAACTGTGTACTTTGAGTTAATAAAGCAGTTGTTAATGTTTTTTATTTACTTTAATTTCATTTTATGACCAAAGTTGATTTAAAAACCAAATTGTAAGTTGCTGAGTCCATATCCTTTAAAACCATTCTCCCGTAATTACTTGTATAAAAGCGACACGATACCAACAATGCAAATTAATGGTTCCTTGAAAACAGGGACAGGATATTTGCATGAGAACAAATTAGTATTGATTATTCTAAGATGTAATCTAAATATGGTACCAGAGTACAAGATTATTCAACCATGTAATTTAAATATGATACCATTGTACAGGTAATATTCCCTGAGCAACGAACTTGACAAGATTGTATTAGAAGTAGTTTTAATACAAGAAATGTTTATTCTTTATCAACTGGTTACAAAAATAATCTTGTTATTGTGTATATGTACACAATAGAATTATTGTGCATGCACATGGGGGGTGGATTGCCGAATGGTTAGCACATGCGCACTGTATCATGAGGTCTGTCATTGAGTCAAATGGAGTGGTTTTGATTCCCCGGTTGTACGTGACAAGGAGTAAGGTCAACTGTCCAGTCTTGTGGGTTTTCCTCCAACTGCTAAAGACCCCTACGCAAAAGCAAATTATTTAAATAAAATTAAACGATACGTTAGTCCACAAATAACCTAGTTTGTGTTGAGTGGTCTTATTATTACAGATCCCATTGGGATTTGATGTCTGACTTCAAATGATAGAATTATGGCCAGTTTTTAAAAACAAATTATCTTTGAATAATTATAGATTATCATTCATTTATATCATTCACAGCTGCTACATAATTTTTAATACATTTATTACATTTATTTCAAATACCATTTACTGTTAGACATATATTCTTAATTTCTAACTCAGTGAAGGCTGAAACACATATTAAAAATATTATATACAGAAGAGTTGATTAAACAACATTTCATTTTTGTTTCCATAATACCATATCCCCTGTACCAAAAAGAGCAAATGCTAACAATGTCATTTATTAATGACCGAGATGAAATATGATTTTAGCAATATAAACCAGCGGCTGCCAGGCAGGATACGCCCACATTTTTGAGAGATGGATAGAGAACAAGCTAACAAGAAAGTGATTTTTCCTACTATCAAGGTCCATAATTCAGGAAATTACAATTCAATATGCGCGAATATCGAAAGGAACTGA